ACAAGGTGCCTAAACTTTGGACAATTCACAAGTAAACATGGAGAGCCAATTGGTTAATATTAAATCCTGCTCAGAGCCACTTTGTGGTGGTCTCCAACATATAGTATTGGTTAGTTCTTCTTCTCTAATGCACTTATGCAGTCCCCTGTTATATTTATGTCATTAGATGAATGGAGAGGAGGAGGGGGAAGGCAAGGAGGCAAGATAATGAGAAGAGAAAAACTGCATACGATAGGGAAAGAGTAGGAAATGAGGGATTAGGTCAAGGTAGATACTCTTGAAACTTAAATAATCAACCAATACAAGAAAAGAAAAACCAAAAGAAAGAAGAATAACAAAAAATAAAAACAGGAAATAGAAACAAAAGAATAAAGAAAGAAGAAATGGATCCCCCTCCCACTAAAGCACAACCGGCAGGATATCCGGATTCCAACAAAATAGCAAGGTTCCAATAACTACAGTTACCAAACGTAACAATGGAAATAAGGATAAAAAATCTAAAACCTTCACACAGTTGTTATAGCATTGACCCAGAGCCTTCACACAGCTCCTTCTACACTAGTATCGCTGTCTGGTTTCACTAGCCGTGCATTTTCCTCCGTGAGCCAGAAAATTGCCTATCCGAAGGCTTGAGAACTGTTGCTCCCTTGTAACTCCTATTCTGGTTTCAAGCTCTGAGTGTGCCCCTTTGAATACTTCCATGGATTCAGTTATTTTGATCTACTTGGAAAGCAAATATTGCAGGCTTCTCCATGTCTTCCCTGCACAGGTTTTTCTTGCCTAGAGTTACTACCCCAGGTAGTGATCACCACACATGTTTATTTCACCTTGGCCGCAGCAATAGCAAGAGGGTGCCGTCAAGGTTCCCCTTCATTGCACGTCACTGGTCACTCTGATTTTGTTCCAGATATTATTGTAGAATTGGTTTTCCCTTCCTTCTGGCATTGCTGGGTGCCTCCACCTCCGTGGGAGCCTGCCAGCAGCTGATGGTAGGGCACTGCTTTGGTTGTTTCACATACAGCATTCCTGTTGTGTGTGGAAAGAATAAGCAGCTTATTGTTATTATTGTTGTTGTTTATGTTGGGAAGACCTTCTGTCTTCCTGGTATCTTACTTTCTGCCAGTTCTGGAGCACCAACAACCTTGAAGGGGAGTGGGTAAGTGCATGGCAATTAAGTTTTGACACATTCTGTTTTTGTTTTCTCTGAGACCCTGGCTGGAAATGTCTCACTGCACCATACTGGTGGGGATGGTAGCATGACTATGGCTCTATCCAGCCCACTAGGCTGGCACTGAGGGCCATGCTACTTCCTTTCACAGACTGGTCCTTTCCCAGGATAGTACGTACACTGGATCTGGGGTAAGGGCTGGGGCACCATGATCCAGGAGGGGAGCAGTTTCCCCTTTCACCCCCTAAACACTGGATAATAGTTCCACTGGATTATCTTTCTACTTATCCTCTAGTATTGGACTTTATGTTTCACCTCCACTTCAAGGTAACTGATTTTCTGTAGCAGAACATTGGAGACATTCACAGTGGCTGTTAATCCTTAGTCAATCATCATGGATATTATCCATTTTTTTTCTTTCAGCTTTTTTTTTGTGATCTGTCTTTCACTTTATAAATTATCTTGTTAACTATTTCCAATCTGCTTAAATGCATACTGAATACTTCTGGATTTTGGTTCTGAAATTGTTTGTCGCTTTGTTATCACTTTAAAGCCCTCAGATATCTTACAATATTTGCCAAACTGGTTGTTCTAAAATTGGGCCAAATTTCCTACTCAATATCAAAAGCAGAAGCTTTCTTAGAATTCAGTTTGTGATATCTATGCCCTTTTCATTCTTAATGTTGTTGATGTAAGTCTGTTTTTTAAAAGATAAGTCTTGGGGCTGGGGATTTAGCTCAGCGGCAAAAGCGCCTGCCTGGCAAGCGCAAGGTCGTGAGTTCGGTTCCCGGTACCGGAGAAAAACAAAAACAAAAAACAAAAAAACAAACAAACAAACAAACAAAAAAAAAAAAAGATAAGTCTTACTAGAGACCTGTGAAAGTTAGTAATTTCTTTTCAGTTTATTTAATCAATCTTTGAATTGGGTTGAATCAGTCTATGTTATGGTTTACATATAAGATGCTCCCCCAGTGTCTTGTGTTCTGAAATGGAGACATGTTGGAGGAGGTGGGTCCCTGGGGGTGTGATGTAGAAAGGTCACTAGAGTAACAGAATTTTATATATATAATATGCTTACAGTGGCCACCTATACAGTCAGGTGGGAAGAATGCAAAAGGGCCACATGCACACTGGAGAGTCAGATGATCTAGTCACAGGTGGAAGATCTGGAGCTCCCCACCTCACTGGAGAGAGTCTCTCCAGTGTAGAGTCTCATTGGAGTCTATGTCAAGAAGCTGAATGCTCTACATTGGAAGGCCAAAGGGTCTGTGCTGGAAGGGTCAAGAATCTGCATTGGAAGCCTGAGGATAGCTGTCCAAAGATGACAGTGGAGACTAGAGCTCCTCCAAAAAGACAGAAGTGAGATTTTCTTTTTTTCCTTTTTTATTCCACTTAGTCTACAAACCTATTGGTTCATACCACTCACATCTAGGGTGGATATTCCCTCTTCAGCAGTAAGTACAGAATTCAAAACTATACTAAACCAAGCAGCTTGGCATTTCTTACTCAAGTTGATACAACATTAACTATCACAAAGTTGTGTTCTTGTCCCTGGCTCTTTCCTTTTCTCTCTGCGTCGTGACCACCTGAATGTGGGCAATCTACTTCTGCCAGGCCCTTCCACCATGATGTTTCTGCCTTGGAGCCATCTAACCATGGACTGAATCTCCTGAACCATGAGCCACATTAAACCTCTCCTCCTTTCAGTTGTGTATTTCAGGTACTATATCTCAGCATCAGGAAAGATAAGGAATACATAATATTGGTATCAAGAGTGGGGTCATTTCTGTGATTGTACATGATCTTGTGGTTCAGAAGCCTCTAGAACTGGATTGTGAGGAGTTTGGAAAGGTTTGGTGATGCCAGCTAGAAAAGATTTATGATGCTGTAATTGGAGATTGATTGGAGATGCTGGGCAGAGCTCAGTCGACCAAAATGCTAATAGGAATGTGGTCAATAAAGGTCAGACTTACAACATTTCAGTCAGGAACAAGGACTCCACTGGCATTTGGACCATGTGTAGTATTATGCTATGACAGAAAATTTGTTTACATTTTGCCAAATCCTGAGACTGTAGGAGGCTAAGGTTATGGAAGGCATACTAACTGATCTAGTGGAGGAAATTTCAAGGCAGGGAAACCTTCAGGCTATAACATGGGTATTGCTGGCTGATCTCTGCTAAATCTACAGTGAAAATCAGGAGCAAACAACACAGCTGCATGACTTCAAAGTGTGCACTGTTGCCATGAAGGATACTCCTGAAAAGTTAGGGCAGAGGAGAGCCTGGCTACCAAAAAGCTTAGAGTTATAAAGTTTGCATCAGGACAGCAAGATGCCTAAGGGTATCTCAAAAATCAACAAGATGCCACTAGTCATGGGCTCAAGGCTGACTGTAAACCTTTCATTTGAGGAGAGATTCCCCAGAGAAAAAATGGGCATTTTTTTCTATAGGGCCAAGGGAAAATATTTAGCAAACAGGAAAAGTAGAGAAGACTCTTCTGGGTGGGTGGAGCATATTGACTGTATAAGGTGTTAGGAAGAGAAATAATTGGCAGAAGAAACCGTCAGAATCCTAACATGAGGGTGGGAGAATGAAGCTACTACATGATCACAACTTAAGATTAGGGTACTCTGGGGGAAACACAGGCATTGGTGAAGGAAAGAGATTGTAAGTGAATGAAGAAAACATGTTGAAGTTTAGGAAGTATTCTCAAGGAGGGCACAGGGATTTTTAAATGATGTTTGTTGGCTACCCAGTGTAGGACGTAGGGAGGATGAGGGATGAGAGTGGTCCATAAGGAAATGAAACTGATGGGAACAGGGGAAGGTTTTTTTTTTTTTTTTTCCCGGTACCGGGAACCGAACTCACGACCTTGCGCTTGCCAGGCAGGTGCTTTTGCCACTGAGCTAAATCCCCAGCCCCCAGGGGAAGGTTAACTTGTGGGTGGCCAAGATTTGGTTTGAAGTGACAGAGAAAGTGGGCAGAATTAAAAAGGCATCCATCCCTGCCACTGAAAGGAGAGCATGACTAGATAGGAAAAGTCCTGTAATTTGTGAAAATTAGAGGAGGAGACTTACTGCTGACATAGAGATGAACAGAGATTTTTAAGGCAACATTTTATCACAACTGCTTACACAGATCATTGCCATGACAATGACAACAGGAATCCTCCCACAGGCAACTGAATGGTAGTTTTGCAGACTGAATTCCGTATTCTACCTTTTCTTGGTTTCCTTTCTTCCTATATGAATACCTCTCCTTACCATTATGTTTCTGCTCCTTAGTACCTCTTTTCAACCTCAGCATGATAGAAATTTTAGGCTGCATCCTTGGGTTGGGGCTGTCCTATGTATTTTAGGATGTCTAGCAGCATCCCGGCTGGTACCCTCTAAATGCCTATAGCATACGTAGTCCCCCAGTAGAGACAATCAAAAATGTCTTCAGACATTGTCAAATATCTTCTGGGAGACAAAATTGCCCCTGGTTTAGAATTCTTGCTTTAGACCATAGATAAAGAACTAGGGACAGGGGAGAAAGGAATTTAGAGATGTGAGTAAAGAATCCAGGGAATGTGAGCATTTTGGAAGGAAAAGAGATAAGAGGGATGCTTCAAAAATGATACATTTAGATTTTACAACACATATAAAGTGATATTTTCAAGTGGGAGCAAATAAATGTACAAAAAGCTAAAGTACTCTGGTTTCAGTGTTGGATAATGCAGTTGTAACTCAAACATTTCCTGAGTCTTTAAGACATTTTGTTGCACGGCTTGAACCCCTACTTTACAGTCTGGGGAACTTGTTGCCCTCGGGCTTTCTCTTTCTTCTGTCCTGTCTTTCTTTTATTAATCCACATGTATTTGGCATACAACACATTCTCTTGCTGGCTCTGGTTAAGAATACAATCCATTTATTGAGTCTTATTTTTCTGGAAACTTAATTGAAGAACTCGGGGATTGCCATGCATGGATGTTATCACATTTGCTAGCATATTTCTTCAATTTCCTGGAACCTACAGCCCTGTTATGGTTCTCAGTCTACTCTTCTCCCAAACTCAAGGCTCCTACTAATTGACTTTGCCATTAGAAAGTAAAGCTCTCAAAAGGATGGTCTTTCAGTGACTTTCTCTTGAGAAACATAGATGCCTTATCTCAGGTGGTGATACTTTATTGCTTTGCACTTGTGCCTCCTATCCTAAGACATACCTACTAAGGAAAATTAGGAAGGTGTGCTGGAAGGTGTGCTTTCAGTGTGTTGGAAGTAGAGTCAGAGAGATGAGTTTTAGTAATCAGGACGACTATCCAGGTCTGAGTCTGTGCCAAGGAAGCCAGGAATTCTCTTTCCCGGAGTCTTCCAGCATTGGAGAGTTACTCACCTGTCCAGGATGGGAAAGGGCTCACTAACCTTCTCCCGCCCAGGGGAGGGAGCTTCTCCTCCAGGGGCCTTCCCGGTCTGCTGGACAGACTCTGCCTGGGCCAGGTAGGTTCCCCAAAGGCCCTCACCACGGCTCCCTTCATTTCCTTGTTGCGCAAACGGTAGATGATGGGGTTGCACGTGGGGGTGATGATGGTGTAGAGCAGCGAGAAAGGCTTGTCCTGGTCGGGCCCGTGTGTGCTGCGGGGATTCGTGTACAAGAACACAGCTGAGGTGTAGAAGAGGACGACCACCGTCAGCTGGGAGGCACAAGTGGAGAAGGTCTTGCCCCGACCTGAGGAGGAGTCTCTGCCGAGGATGGAGGGCAGGATGCGGGTGTGGGAGGTGACAGTGAGGACCACGCGACTGAGCAGCACCACAGTGGCGTCGACAAAGATCAACTTCATGCTAAACTGGGGGTCCCCGCAGGACAGGGCGATCACCATGGGAGCCTCACAGAAGAAGTTTTCTACATGGTTGTCTCTGCAGAATGGACCTCTAAATGTCATGTAATCAAGAAGGACACCACTGATCATTCCCAAAATCCAGGCAGAACCCACGAGCCTTACACAGACCTACCAGCTCATGATCTGGGTGTAGCTTAGTGGGTGACAGAGAGCAACGTAACGGTCATAGGCCATGAAAGCCAAGAGAAGGCACTCGGCCACACCCACAAAGAAAACCAGGTACATCTGTGCCACGCAAGAGACAAGGAGACAGTGTGACTCTTGACTACCAGGTGGACCAGCATCTGTGGGGTGGTGGTGGTGATGAAGCAGACGTCCAGGAAAGCAAGGTGGCCGAGGAAAAAGTACATGGGGCTGTTAAGCCTCGGGTCTGTCCACGTGATGTAGACGGTGAGGCCATTCATGGCCATGGGCAGGCTGTAGAGCGCTCGGAAGAGAGTGAAGAGCAGTGTCCGTGTGGAAAGGGAGCTCTGCGCAAAGCCCACAAGGATGAACTCTGTCACCGTGCTGCTGTTCCGCAGGTCGACCGCTTGGGGCCCGCTGCAGGAGGAAGGACAGGGAAAGCATGAAAGAGAAAGAGAGACAGAGACAGAGACAGAGACAGAGAAGGGAAAGATAGATAAAGAGAGTGAGAGAGGGAGGGAGAGAGAGAGAGAGGAGGTAATTGAAGTTAGTTGGCCATAGAAACCCAAGTATAGAACATGGTAGATGTGTGATAATAAATGTTTTGGAACTCAGTACAGTCTAGTAAATGGGTAGTGTAATGTAGGAGTGAAAATGCCATGGACACCATAGGCTGTGTACATAGAGTCACCTATTAAAAATTAAGGCGGTGATGGTTACATTTTCCTCTGGTTTGATCAGGCCTTCACTGAAGTATTGCACCGGTTCCAGTGCCCTGAGTGTGGAAGGACTCCCTACTAACCAGAATGCATCTGGAGATGAAAAAATAAAAGAGCTGTTGCCGGGACTCATGGAATAAGAGGGATTTGTTGAAGGAGTTGAAGAATGGAGTGCTTAGGGGATGAGGGAGGCTGTGAGCCACAGAAGATCACACATAGGATGCAGTTGATAGTGGAAGGTATATGTTTCTACAAGAAAAATATGCTCAATCTTTCAGAAAATTCTTTCAGACTACAAAATGATGGAGGTTTAAGGAAAAAGAAAAACATTCTGATTCTCAGGGCTGTCCCTGAGGACCGTTTGCACACATCCAGAGTCAGCTGTGTTGAGCTTTTCCTAGTGATCACTTTTCTCCACTCATTCTCCAAGCAGTTGCTGCTGCTTCATCAACCACCCATGCTGTGCATGCTGGAGACAGAGCCTGGTGGTGAGCTCTGGCACGTTTTTTGAGCAGGAGATGGTTTCCCTCTGGGCTTGGAATTTAGGGCTATGCACCACCGGATGGCTAGAGTCCAACTATCTCTGTGAAAAAGGGATTCTGTGAACAAATACAACCACCCTTATGTGGACCTTCAGAGGAATTTGATCCATCATCTTGCCTCTAGGAGTAAATCTTTTCCTTTTTCCATCTTCAGAAAATGAGCATTTGCGATTTTGGTTTTCCTATCTCACTACTGTAACTTTTAGAAGGTCGTGTGGAGGCTCTCGTATTTTTCTTCTTGCTTTGGAGTTTGTGTGAATCAGATCCCTTCCACCCTTCGATGCGTGTGGAGTCTGGACAGTACATTCCTGCTTATCTTCCAGCTCTTTCCACCATTTTTCTTCATTTTCCCTCTTCTACTCCTCTTTGTACAAACTCTCACTCTTTCCTCTCTGTTGCGTCTTTTCTTCTTTTTCTACCGACTTCCAATCCTAACAGTTCTCTTCTTTCTTATCTCATTCTGGTGTTGGTTGCCTGACATTTGTCTAAATCTGTAGGACTCCTCTCTCCTATCCATGTTTCAGGGTCTCAGATTTCCTATCTGCATTTTAGAAGCAACCTACCTGATCATGCCTAGAAGTTCTAGATTCCCTCTATGTATAATTTCCTGGGGGGTTACAGCAGCGTCAGGACAGTAGTCTATTCCTATAACGTTCATTTTGGAGATATTCTTGTACCAAGGAGCTCTTCAGTGGTTTCCAAAAGGGAAAGCAAAGACAAGAGCACACTGTTTAAAATGTGGCTTGGAAGCCTGCCCTTAGCAGGCAGGCTGATGCTGCAGTCAAGGTTTGGGCAAGATATGGCAGAGGGCTGGGGTATAGCTCAGGGGCACGAGCACCTGCCTGGCAAATGCGAGGTCCTGAGTTTGATTCCCAGTACCAAAAAAGAAAAAAAAATATGGTAGAGAAGTCTGGGATTTATCAGGAAGACAGTGAGGGTTGACCTTTCAGTCACCAGGAACTACCAGTGGGCGGGTGATTACTTGTCATTCACTGTGCCCAGCATCTAGTGTCTGTGAGCTGCCATTAAGGGTTAACCAGCCAAGCACTTGTCTAAATAAATGATGTAACGTGATAGAAATCACATCCTACCTCATTCGATCGCTCTGCTGGCGATGATCTTAGTCACCGAGTCACCGCACCAAGTCACAGAGGAGAACTCACGGTGTCTGAAGAGGAGCTGGCCCGGGGAGGATGTTCTGACCTGGTGGCCACTCTGGAAGAGAATGGCGTGCGGTGATCTTGTTAGTTCTTTGACATCTATACTCGTATAACAGGTGAATGCCTGCTTAAATTATATGACAGAGTTACGTGTGCATAGCACTTTATAGCACAGTATGGAAACGTACGTGCCCCATGCTACCGTTTGCTAACACATAACCCAGTGATGGTGAGACTTTTAGAGTGTTCGATGATATGAAACAGCCTGTGGTGGTGTGTACGCCATAGGTTTGCCACCAGGGACATAATCTAATTCTGTCCCTTTTTGCATACTGTATATTTTGTACCTCAGGCCTCTGAATTTTGTTGATTTGAAAATTACATGTCCCCCCAATAGTTTAAAAAAATTGCAAGAAAACAAAAAGGAAACATTTATTCCATTATAGTTTCCTGTAAGCCCTTATTCTGTAGCATAAAACCTGTCCTTGCAAATATTATTTCTGGCAAAGAATCTTCTAAAATGAACTTCTATTGCTGTGTCTTCTAAAACTAATCCTGAACCTTTAAAATTTAATTTTTATTGGTTTTCTTAATGACTGCAGAGACACTGAAATTGGTATCTGGTTTAATTTCATATAGATGTGCAGAATCTCTTGTTGCATTTCCTCTCACGTGAAGGGAATTGTCATAGCATAGCTCTGCCGCCTCCTCCCTCTACTCCATTGCAGAGGACATGGGTTGGCTTCCCTGGCTGACGATGCGAGGAAGAGAAAGCCGTCACATACGCCCTCTTCCTTTCACCTCCCTCTCAGGAGGGAGTGGCCTTTCGGGGGCAACCTCTTCCCCGTGTGTGGGGCTTTGTTTTGCCCAGGGCTGCTACTGACCTTGGACTGTGTCTGTCTGTCCGTCCCTGGGCTGTGTACTACAAAGAACGTGTCTGTTTCATTACTGATAAAGCTGATGTTTGACCTCTGTCTGTGGACGCTTTATCTTATTTCAGTTGATTCGGAACTAGACTGGAAGAGTAATATCGTTTACTGTATTCATTCAAAGCCCCAAGCAGTTATTATTAATGTTATCATGTATATGCCAATACAATTATAAACAAACAAGTATGACAAAACTTAGGTTATAATGAAAAGAAAATCTAAGTCATTGTAATGTGTGGTGATTTCTGGAGGGAAAGTGCTCTCCTGGTGCACATATTTTGAATTCTGAAATTGCAGTGCTGGCAAGCTAAGGGAGAGGGGTCTGCATTCCATGACTACAGGAGCACAATGAACAAAGTGTCCTATTGTTCCCAGACTGGTGGGAAAATATCTCATTATGGTATGAGGCTCTATTCTTGTCACACTTACTGAAGGGGAGCAGAACACGTCCGACCGTTAGCAATAATATTTCTGTTGTTCTGTTAGTGTGCGCTGAGTACAAGAATGAAACATACTACAGCATTTATTATTCACTCATTCTATAGTTTCCGTTTGTTTCAGGAATGGGGTTAGTTCACTTGAGTTGTATATGAATTCATTAGCCTCGTTTGAATCCTGCAGATTGTTCTCTTATAAAGTTTCAGTTTTGGGGGTGTTTGTATTTTGTGGAATTGCTTTAAATAAAATATGCCTTTATAATTTGAGGTTTTACATCACTTGACACCTAGTTTCTCTTATGAATACTTAAATCTTGTACTTCTAGATTAAATACATTATTTCATGATACAGAATCATCAGTTTAGGTGGAACATGGGTGAAAAAATGCGATATATTTAGTCTGAGTTTTATGCCCCCCACCCTGGAGAATATAGAAACCTGTTTCAGTATGTCCATTCATCTCTGAAATACTGTAGAAATGGATGTGTGTATTAAACACTTTTCTTAGAAAGTCCACGATTTATGAACTTGTGAAAGGTGGCTGGAACCCACAAAAGGTTAAAGAATTCTGATCTGGTGACTTGAAGTCACTAAATTCATATAGATCTTTCTTCTTTAGGCTGAAAACGGAAGTACTCTTTGTCCTGCTGAATTGTTTCCTCAAAAGTGTCTCCAAGGAGGGTAACTGGGAGAGGACTGACGTCCCATTCCACCATGCGCTTCCTGAGACTACAGCCAGCTCTAAGAAGCCTCAAAGGAGGATTCCAGGAAAACAGTTTTCTCTGTTGTATGAGAGAGATCATGGCTCTCAGGGGTGGGCGGGCCACATGGCGAAAGCTCTTTCCCACTCAGTAACTGAAGGCCCCCAGTACTAAAAGTAGCTGGAAGCCTTGAGCCTGTGCTCCAGTTTTGCCTTCACGATGAAAAGGAGAGCGATGACCTAGGAGCACAGCGAGCTGAGTAGGGGTGGGGTGGAGCGGTCCAGTAGCACCTGTATGATTTAAGTTCAGAAAATGATACTGGTCACAAATCACCGCAGAAACGATGCTTTTGCCCAGAAGAGTAAGCAGGTCTTACGTGGAGATACAGCGTTTTTGAATGAGAGCGGGAAGGGAACAGGTGGCAGAGAAAAACTAGCACTGAACGGGAGCGGGCTTTCAGGCACTCAGGAAAACTCATCCCGTGGGACGCCTGTAAGGTGTTCCAGTTCCTTCCAGTCTGTGGACGCCAGCTGGAGGAACTTACTATCCCACAAGGGCTCGTAAACACTGCAGCGATGGGCAAAGAATAATTTTCTGCTCTGTAGGTTTCGAGAGAACTGGAATGAAAATCCAGAACACCAGATTCCGTTTACATGTACGTAGGACGGCACCAACACAAATGATGGTGGCCCGCAGAGCTACCGGTGCTCCTGGTGGGACTCCATGGCTCCCCACCTCCTTCCTTAGTTGTCGGCATTCGGAAGTCCTTAGTCACCCGAGGGAGAAGTTAGGGAGACACCTTCTGATATCTTCTTTATAACCTCTGTGTACACTGCCATAAAGTGCTGGTTAGAATTCTCAGCCTTCCCCTGCTCTTCTGCAGACACTCCATGCTCTGGCTGCCACTTAACCTTCCCCAGCACTTCCTAGTTTCCTGTGCCTCCAAGTCTCTGCCTGTGACCTTCTCCTTGGTTCCCCGGAATCCACTTTCCAAACATTTTGTCCAATTAACAAACTCCTGCTTCTGCCAGGCTGACCTCCAGGCTGACATTCCTACTGGAGCCTTCAGTAACTCATACCCACCCCGAGCCATGCAAAATTGTATTCCTCCCTGCCTCAGTTACTGGAGAACACGTTGGTCACACGCAGTAGTGTCTAGAGGATGAGCTCCTGTAATACAGAGAGCTTATACCCTTATCTGCGGCACATTGCCTAGCACATAGCAGTCTTTACATATACATTTTGTGGAATAAATGACCTTCCAAATTCTAGTTTTCTCTACTTAATGTTGCCAATTATACCAACTTTATGAATAAATCACCATAAGCATACTTTTATCATCTCTATTATGAAAAAACACACATGTTTGATAGATTTATTGGCAGATTAAGAGGAAATTTATTCATTCAACCAAAAAGGCATGTGGTGTGTGTGTGTGTGTTGTGTTCATGTATACACCACACAGAACAATATCTATAATAGGGAAGGTGTACAAGAAGTTTTAATTTATCCTTTTACTAGGTCATTGGATAAAATAAAAATACTAATTACACATTCATGTTTTTAAATGCTTGTAATGTTCAAAATGCCAAAGCCTTTAAAAAATCCACCAACTAAAAATGATTTCCTAAATGTAGTAAAATGCTATAGTCTGTGTCCTGGTAGTTAAGCACAGAGATATTTGACAAGTGCTTAATACAGTGTGCTTAGAGTTCTAAATAGTGTCTCAATAAAGAACTAAAGAAGCTCAAGAGTAATGAAATAATAAGGCAGGAAAAATGTATTCAAAGAATAAACATCAGTTATAAGAAAAATGTATTAATGTTTGAGGTATTCAGAGAATTTGTTCTTAAATGGCATCTTTGTAAAAGAAAAAAAGGCCAATCTAAGTAAGAACAAGTGTTAAATCCCCCAAGTCTTCAGTTTAGGTATAAATTTGGACTAAACTTTGTGGAAGACTTTGGGAGAGAGAAAGTGAGCGTAAAGACATTCTTTTCATAAGTTGGATTATTAACAGATATGTGATTATTTTCACAGAAAGTATAGACTCAGTGATGAAAAGAAGTTTTCTTCTGTCTTGAAGTATGATAAGCAGAGATCCCATTCCTGAACATGACATGAGTGGATACACTGGAAGAACCAAATTTCCAAAGGGCCTGTGTAGGATAATTTTCAAATGTAATACATAAAGTAAGAGTTGTAAATTCGTTGGCGCGATCTGAGTCACTGTTCTCATCGCTGAGACAAAGTACCCAACACTCACAGTTTAGGGAGGAGAGAGTCACTTGGGCCCAGTCCATAGTCGCCTGGCGCCATGGCAGAAATGGCACCGCAGGAAGGGAGAGCAGAAGAAAGCTGCGTGTGTCACGGCGGCCGTGAAACAAGGAAGATGGAAGCAGCCCGGGGGAGATGTGCCCTTCCACTCTCTCCCACTCACCTCTTCCCAACTAGACTGCACCTCCCACCAGGACAGTGCGCTGTAGACTCTCCAGTAGAGGCGTGTATAGCTCCCCCGTGATGCAGTCATTCACAAGGGCCCCAGCTCTGAACACATGAGCTTTGGGGGACGTTCTATATCTAAACCATTACAGAGGCTTATGGGAGAACTGCGTGAGGATTTCTTTTGCTATTCAGTGCTAATTACTGAGTGTTAGCACTTAGGATTTATTCCCTTTTGCACTCCCTCTTCCTTCTGTGAAAATTCCATGATCAAATAAGACTGAATCACAAGCAGTCTACAAAAGAAGGCAACACATGCAGAGTGTGGTGGCGCACGCCTGTAATCCCAGCACTCGGGAGGCTGAGGCAGGAGGATCGTTGCGAGTTCGAGACCAGCCTGGGCCACAAAGTGAGCTCAAGGCCAGCCTGAATTGCATAGCGAGACCCTGTCTCAAAAAGGCAAAAAAAGAGAAGACAAAAGCATGCACCTTCCTGATTCCAGCCCAGAGAGCCTATAATTGGCCCTAAAGTGGCTACAAACATGCATTTTTATTAAACAGAAAACACACAGAATTTAGAAATCAGATTAGTAAAAGAAGAAAGGCCGTTATTCGTTTAAAAATGCAGACATGGTGACGTGCCCTAGAAATCAATCAGGAATGAGCCCTGAATGCAGGTCTCTTAAAATACAGGCACACTCAGGACCTCACAGAGACCCTGATCAGCGAGACCGGGTTACCCCGGGACAAGCAGGGATAAGGGAGAGGGCCCCGGCACAGGGCAGTTTAAAGACTTCGCTGCCTGCTGGTGCAGGGAGAGAATCAGGTAGTTACCTCTGGCTGGGCAGGGAGATGTCAGCAAATGGAAAGCACAGCCACCCCTTCCCCAGGAGCAAGAGGAGGAGAAGTAAACACCACACAGCCCGTGGAAAGACCTGGCAAGACTGCAGCCTGCGTGGCCTGTGTCCCTGAGCCTGCAGCTTGTTGCACCGGCCCTGCTGGAGAAAGACAGGGCCAGGCCTTAGCATGCGCTTACACATCCAGAGAAGAATGTCGTTTCCCCATCTGAGTTTTTCCCCATCTGACTTGACACGATACTGAGAAGCTCTTAGTACTGTGTCATTTCTCAAGATTGAAAAACTTGGGAGATAATTTTGAATGCTGTGATTTTTGTTAACACAGCTACATGAACTTTGAGGGATTTAGGAATCAAACCGAGAGACAATAGTTCATGAACTTCCGACGTGCGTTCTCCTACACAGTGGTGGAGATGAAACATGTGACATGTCTGGAGCACAGCCGCACTTGACCTTTAAGGAAGAACAGCAGTGCTCCGCGTGAGTCCTCGCAGGCCTCGGCCGGCGGCCGTTACGGTGAGCGACCTCTCCCGTGTCCCACCCGCTCACCTCAGAAGTCTCACTGGGGTCCACCCACTTCCTTTCTTTTCTAAGCTCCTTGTCATTTCCCTTTTCCTCAACCTTGGTTAGGTACCGTCGTAAAAAATCCGACTGGGCTTTTTGCTCCTCGTGTTGCGTTGGGAATAGTTTGCTTGTACCCGAGACTTGCCAAACTGAGTTAAAGCGTGGAAGTGTCAAAATTCTCCCGTTTTCCTATCTCTCTCTCTCCTTTTTCTGCCTTTGGTTTACTTCTTCTGCCTCTTTATTCCCTAATTCCCTTTAATCTCTCCACATCCCTTCGAAACTGAAGATTTCTGAAACACCGCAGCCCGTGGAGATTCCCCGTAGGGCCAGTTTTACAGATGTGCTGTACTTGGTATGCCAGACCTGCTATGAGTGGGTCTCTGTGAATGTACAAAAAGCAAACGCCGGCAACAAACTCTCCTAGAAGGACCTTATTGTTGATCTGCTTAATGGGCAGCATCATAATTAATTACAATGTTGAAAATTTCCTCAGCCTTCTTTCACAGGTAAGACTCTAACGCACAGTGTGTCTCCTCTGTCTCCTGAGACTCATCACCTTCAATCATTCCCAGCCCTCATCTACTATCCCATTAGAGAAGGTAAAAGAAAAACAGATTAGACACATCACTCTCCTCCTTCCTCACAGTCATCTTCAGTATGGAGGTTTAAACAAGCAGGAAAACAGCCAGGTGCCTAAGAGGAAAAGAGAAATTGATATGCAGAGACATCCCCAGTAACGCTCCTCTGAATATTCAGAACCTGTGTGCATGTGCAAGTGTGGGTGAATGGGAAAGTGGAGAGAAGAATTCAGTAATCAAGGAGAGCTATTGAGTATCAGTGGACTATGTAATAACTCCAGCTGTTCTCTGGCTTTGATTAATCTGAGCTATTTCGCTATTTCAAATGCTTGGTTATAATATGAAATGAGTTTAAATAGGTTAAAGAAGAAAAGAAAGACAGAAATATAATGAGAGACAGGAGAAGTAGCAGAGGCAGGAAAGATATTTAGCACGACGCTAAATGGCTTAGGAAAGGAGGGAAGGGAAGGAGAGAGAAGAATAAGAGACAGAAGCCAGGGAGATAGGGAGGGAAGGAGGAAGGGGGAGAGAGACCAACAGAGAGATAGACACAGAGAGAGAGAGAGAGACAGAGACAGAGAGACAGAGCGCCTGTACCAGAGGGAACGGGATGTAGAGGAGATGTACAAGAGACAGGATACAGGACAACCCATTTGGGACCCCCCCCCCATCTCTCAGGAGCTATTCTGTTCCCCATTCCCATTTCACATTCCTTTTCTCCAATAAATTTTCCTACTCTTAACAAAAAACAAGAGATAAGATACAGAAGAAAAAAAGCTGGAACACACAGAGTCCTAGAGTAAGAAATACACAATTTTAAGAAGTGAAAAGTTATGTTTATGAGGTTCAAAAACTCAAAACACCTCTGTAGCAAGAAAGTAAATAACCAGATTAAAAACTAAGCACAGGACTTGAAGAGACATTTCTCAAAATAAGATAGAGAAATTGCCACCAGGCGTATGAAAAAAAATCTCAAAATCTCCAACGACCACCACCACAGTGATGAAGAGGGGGACCAAGAGATGGGTGGGGTCGGAGGGAAGGAAGGGAAGGAGGATAAAAAAGGAAGTCAGGTGTGTCTGTACAAGCACCAAGTCCCCACAAGGAGTGCAACATTATGCACTGCAAACATGCGCTAAGAAATAAAAAAGATAAAATAAAAATTTCAAAATCTCAAATGATCAGGGAAATGCAGATTAAAACCGCACTGAGATGCCCCCTCAAACCTGTAGCACGGCCATTATCAACAAGATGAAAGTGTGGGCGAGGACGTGGAGAAAGGGAAGCCTTTCACACTGTCGGCGGGAATGTAAAGGAATTCAGCCTTTGTGTTCATCAGTATGGTGCTTTCTTAACAAATTCACAAATTAACAGTGGAGCTACCATATGACCCCCAAATCCCACCCTAGGTTTATACTCAGAAGAAATGAAATCAGTATGTTGAAATGTCCAGTCCCGTGTTCACTCCAGCAATATCCACAGATCGCTGAGGTGTGGAACTAGCCTACACACGACTAGGTTTTTAAAATGTGGAGCATATACACGATAGAATATTATTCATTCTTTAAAAAGCTGGGAATTCTGTCATCTGAGCCAAAAATCAATGAATCTAGAGGACATTATGCTAAGTGAAATAAGCCAGGTGGGCGGGAAGACGAATACCATATGATCTCATGTACACGTAGAATCTAAAAAAGTCCGTCTCACTGGCACAGAGAGCGCAAAGACAATTGCCAGAGGCTGTGGGTGAGGGATTGGGGAAATGTTGGTCAAAGGACAAAAAATTTTACATATGAGGAGCTAGGATCCACTGCCCAGCATGGTAACAATGCACTGTATATTTGAACACTGTCAAGAGAGGAGAGCTTAGGTGTTCTCACTACAAACATTGATATGTATGTGAGGCAATGGACATGTGATCAGCTCAGTTTAGTTATTTCACAGTGTACACATAATACATATATACCATATATATTTGATATTTGTCAGTTTATAAAAAGAACTCACAGGCTTATTTTCAGTTAGATTTAGGGCACAAAGTGAAACAATTTTGTTAACAAAATTTTATAATTATTTTGTAATTACTGTTGCTGAAGACTCATCATGTTTAACATCAAGACCTAACCATTTAAAAATGATGTATAAGGTTGACCCATAAATTTAAAAATAAATCACACAAATGCTCAAGTACACACACACACACACACACACACACACACACACACACAGTCTTAATCTCATCATGTACACAAAGCAGTGAGCCCAGCACAGAGTAGAAGGACTTTGGGTCAGTACGTGTATCTGAAATTTAACCTTAGTTTTGTTGCTAATTCTAGGGTGGCGTTAGCCAGCTGATTCTCAAGTTCTCTCTCCTATGAGAATGAACTAAACAATGCAATCAGCGGCTAGCAGAGACCGGACAATAAACAGTAGATCTGGTCTCTGTTTCCTCTTGTCTCCTCATGGCTTCCCTTCGCAAGTGGAAGGAACACGTAAGGACGTGGCCAGTCACGCCCCCCAGCCCCAAGGCAAACTGCTCCTGCAGAAACATACGGACAAAAGGATCTCATCACCTTTTCAAATCCACCCGAAGATCTACCTGCTTCTCACTGTCAGGAAGTTGTTTACGTTTAATTAACCCTTTTCCTGATATGCTTAAGTCCTCTTCCCAAACCTGGCTCCTAGGAACGCTGCAGAAAAATTTAAAAACAACAACAATTACAACAACAAAATGTGGAGCCCATACTTGGTATCACAGTCTGCAGGAGAGGACTGTCGCTGAATCGCTTCTTAACCACTTAACAACTTTAGAAATAAGAACAGTGCCAGAGAGAAAGCAAAACACAAGGGATACAGTATAAAGAAGAAGCCCCAAGAAAGAAAGAATTGAGAAAAAATAATTACAGAGAAAGTGAAGAGATCTCACTAAACCAAAAAGAAAGAAAAAGGCTAAAGGCAAAGAAAGAATTAGAGATAAGACAGAAACAAGAAAAGTGGGAAAATACAAGATAGGTTAATACAGAGAAATATAGTTAAGACACAAATACGAAGAGCCCCAGCCCAGAGATAAAAAAACGAGGAGACAAAATGCCAGACATAAAAAGAACCCGAGCGGCTGCCGAGCACGGGGAGCCTGCGGGTGACGTGGAATCAGAAGACAGGAGCCAGGTGCATCCTGCAGGTGAAGGGTGCGAGGTCGGCCGGCTCTCCCCCACCAGCCTTCCAGGTGAGAGCTGTGCAGTCTGGCTGGTCCCCTGGGTCACGGGCCGCCACCTGCCCTCAGCCAGGACCGCAGGGCCGCTGAGCAGACTGAGAGACCCCGACGGAAACACGGAGGGAAGCGCAGGGGCGAAGCGACCCACAGGGAGAGCTAGGGCCAGAGACAGGGCTGCACTCGGGGAGCGGAAGGCGAGCACAGCGAGGGCTCACAGGCTGCGAACTGGGCCATTTCCCCGGCGGCCGCTGTGAGCCCAGCCCCTGTCTGACCCGAACACGGGCAGCCGCTGCGGGAGCCAGGCAGGGTTCACCTGCGGGGACCCCACAGAGGCAGGGCCCGCTTCCACCGCACGGGTCGGCTCATCCGCTGACCTTGTCCACGGGCCTCGCTCGCACCGCGGACACCGGCTGCGCGGCCAGGCTCGGGGTGGAGCCAGCGAGCAGGGCGAGGTGCCGTGGGTTTGCCGTGACCCAGCAGTCGTTTATGGGACTGAGGGTACGGGGCCCTTGCACACACACACACACTCTCACACACGCACGCACGCACGCACACGCTTTTTCAGGCGCTAGCTCCACCTGTGACCGTCGGCAGCCAGCTGCGCAAGGCCAGCTCCGTGTTCTCGGGGCCTGACGCTCCCGCTGTCTCCCCGGGACGGTCTGGCAGCGCTTCTTCCCCGGGCTGCCTTGCGAGGACAGGCCCATGGCACGCGGCCCCGGAAGGCAAAGCCCGGCCCAGCTGCCCTGGGGAGGCTAGGTGTCCCGCAGCGGACGATTCACGGACCAGCAGGCCCTGGCAAATACTGTGATGCTGTGCCCCCACTTCCTTTTAACTCTTCGGAAACTTATTTCTCGACTTTGTCTTAATTAAGTTTCTGTGATGTTTTCTGCTGACTTAATTGCTGTTTACTGTGAGTTCAGTTAAACACGTTTTCATATTATTATACTGCGTACTGCAGTGGGGCAGTGACCGTTGACTGAGCGCCCTGTCTGCGCGCGGCACCATGTCAGCTGCTCCGAGGAGGGGTGGGCAGAGGGGCTGAGGCGCTCCCTCATGCAGCACACATATTCGATGAGTTGCTCCTTTCCAAACCCAATACACTCTTTTTCTTCAAAATTTTTCCTCTTTTTACCTGAAAATGTCTTTTCTCTCCTAAGCTACTTCCTGTGCTTCCAAAACACAGCCCAGTGCTGAATTATCTGCCATTTAAATTCTGCATAGCCTACATAACTTCAGCAATTACTCCACTCCCTCCCTTCTCACAGCCATTTTCCTCCCGAAACAGTTAGACTCTATGAAGTCGCAATTTATAACTCTTGTGTCCCGACTCTTTCTGAACAGTTAGGATGGCTCCTTCCCCACACCGTAGCATGCACTTTCACCAGTATCTCCCAAGCTTGAGTTGTACCAAATTTAATGTTTTTGGGGTATTTTTGCAGCATCATTCAGTTTACACAAAAGTCACAGACTTAGAATAAGGAAATAGACCTTTGTAGTAGAAGAGGTCCAAGGATTCTTCATATGGTTGTTGAAAAGCAAACTTCAAACAACTTAACAGCATCTATTTCTGTATCTGGTTGCACTGAAAGGTCAATTAATTCATACGTTCAATAGAAAATTCTTTAGACTGTCCACTTCCCTATGACCTCTGGTCCACAGTGTCTTATTGACAAAATTCCAATCCAAATATAATGTGCAATTCAAATTGTTCCAAATGATATTATCTTCCTATACAGTATTGAATAAGTTAGTGTTTTCCTGTGACATTTCCATGTTGAAAGTATACTTTTGACTGAAAAAATACATGAAAAGTCTTTTCCAAAAAGTGATGTAACTTCAGCAGTCACAATAGTGAAAGTCATTAACATTATACATGTTTTATGAGGTCTCTATATATTTTCATCGATTTAGATGTTCATCAGTGATTCCACAATTTTGTATGCTATGTCTTCCATGAATTACCCCAATACACTTTATATTTTGGATGACATTTAAAATGGTACCTTATCTTAGACATTTGCAGAATCTGAAAAAGCTGATTTCATGCAAGTAGAATAGTGGTGAGTAGAGACTGGGGATGAGGAGATGAAGGATGGCGAAGTGTTGGTCAGCAGGTACAAAGTTACAAGGAGATAACAGGAACGAGGGATCTTGCTCTGCTGCACAGCAGCATGAGTGTAGCTAAAAATAACGTCTTGTATATTCCAAAATAACTAGAAGGGAAGTTTTCAAGTGCTCTCATCACAAAGAAATGATGGATGCACAAGAAGATTCTATACTCATGTGTCTATTAATTATTGGGTAGGGTAAAAATATAGTAAATGAAATGGAATTTTAAAAATTAATTTTAAATATTTTGATGACAGAAATGCACTTAGATTTTTGCATATTGTTTTTGTACTCATGTTAATTTTTACAAAGTGTGCCTTCTTTTAGTTTTCTATGAAGGCAATCATATTGTCTGTGGCTAAAAAGCTTTGTCTTCATTTCCAGTTCTCATACCACTTATTTATCTTTTTGTGCCATTGTAATCCATAGAATTTTCAGTAACATTTTCAAAAGAAGAAAGGGGTAATGGTTAACACTGGTGTTTTCATGCAAAAGAGAATGATTTTAATTTTTCACTATTAAAAATTACATTTGCTAAAGATTTTGTATACAGTAGCTTCAGTAACTTAAGGAAGTTCTTTTCTATTGCTGGTCTGTTGAGAGTTGTAAAAATTTAAACAAGTATGAATTTTGAATGAAAAGAGGGAGTTTTCTTGCACTTACTGAGCTGATCGTGCAGTTTTTCTTTTTTTGTTTGTTAAGATAGTGATTTACAGTCAGTTAATTTCTAATGTTAACTCAATTTTGAATTACTGGGACAAACTCCATTTTGGTTATACCTTTTTAATACATTGTAGGACACAATTTGCTAAAATTTTGCTTAGGAGTTTTTCAACTATGTTCATGAGTGAGATGAGCTTTGTGTTTGTAAAGTTTTGTCATCAAAGTTACATTTACATCATTAATAAAGTTGAGGTCTTTCTCTCTTTTTCTAGTATATCTGTATTATTCTGCTTCTCATCACTGTACTTAAATACCTGAGGCAATTCATTTATAAAGAGAAAAGGTTTGTTTTGGCTAATAGTTTTGGAGCTTTCAATCTATGATTGATTGACATTATTTCTTTGGGGCTGTGGCAAACAGCTTACCGCTGTGGGTGTCCATGGTAAAGCAAAACACTCACCTCATGACCCAGAAGCAGAGGAAGTGAAGGTGGGGCCTTGGTCTCACAGCTGTCCTGAAGGGCTTGTCCCTGAAGGCCATGTTCCTGAGGGGCTGGATTTTTTTTTTTTTTTTTTTTGTACCAGGAATCAAACTCATGACCTCAGGCTTGCCAGGCAAGCCCTTATGCTGCCGAGCTATAACCCTGGCCTTCGGGCATGTTCCTAATGACTTAAAGACTTTTCATTAGGACCCTCCTCTGAAAGGTCCCACCACTCCCCAGTAGCATCACGTTGGAGACAAAACTTAATCTCCTCCCAGAGTTGGCACCACCCACACGAGGGTCCCTTCCCCTCGGGGCCTTGCAGCAGAGGATGCACTGCCTCCTTCTGGATCCCCAGGCCCCTCTGCCTACCTGGCCCACCAGGTACATTCCTTCCCATACCAGGCAGGGGACACAGAAAGGTGCCTCTTCCTTACCATCTTGGCCACCGCCTCTCCAGGGACCTCATCCAGAGGTGGCGCCTGCAGCTGTCCAGACACTGGCCCTGGGAAGACCAGAGGGCACAGGAAGCCTGAAGCATGGGTGGGGGCTATGATTCTCCTGGAGCCTCCTGGGCACCGCTTATTCCTGTGGCAGATCTCTACTGAGTGAATAAACGGATATGTGAGCAGACAGGATTAGAGGACGAATAATCACCACTCACAGATCTCCCAAATTCCAGCCTGAGGAGGAGCCCAGCAGTCCTCTCAAGGTGGCTCAGAAACCAGGTGTAGGTGACAGAGAAAGTGAGGCCCAGGAGGCTGGAGTGGCCCTGGGAAGCAAGAGGCAGGGATGGGGCTTGGGGACACGGCAGCTTGTGTGAACAAGTGACATCCTTGCACTTCTCAGTAAGTAGGATCCTGGGAAATATTTTCAGTGGAGAGGCTGGGGAGAACCACTTTAAATCCCACGCAGGGAGACCCCATAAGAAGGGGGCGACTGCAAAAAGTACTTAAGCAAGTCCTGGACTGAGAAAGGAGGCCACCACTACCGTAGAACCCAAAGAGAAGTATGCAAGGAACTGGAAGAGCAGTTAGAGAAAAGAAAAGAAAGGAATGAGAAAGAAAAGGAAAGGAGAAAAGAAAACCATCAGCACTGGAAAAATAATGACATGATGAGGTTCAATAAATATCTTACAATAATCACTGTCCGTGTCAATTGTCTTAATTCCCAGTCAAAAGATACAAACTGGCAGATTGGATCAAGAAACAAAATCCAACCATATGTTTCCCCCAAAGGATAGCTTTCATCCAAAAAGAGGCACGTAGACTGAAAATGAAAGGATGGAAAATGATACTTCATGCAACTGGAACCCCCAAACGGGGGTTGTTGTTTCCTGACACAGCAGTGTTCAAGCCAAAACTGGTCAGAAGATACAAAAATGGCCACTATATACTTGCAATGGGAACAATTCAACAAAAAGAAGTGAAAATTGTAAGTACATATGCACCAAACGTTGGTGCACCCAACTTCATAAAACAAAAACTATCAGACATTCAAAGACAGATATGCACCAGTACAAGCATAGCAGGGGATTTCAACATCTGACTCACAAATACACAGGTCTGCTAGACAGAAAATAAACACAGGAATATCAGAGTTAAACCACACCATCAAACAAATGGACTTAGCAGATGGGCTTTCATCCAATTACAATAGAACACACATTTTTCTTGGCAGCAGATAGAGCTTTTTCTAAAGTAGACCACAATTTAGGCCATAAAATATGCTTAAATAAATAAAATATTCAAAGAATGGATCACAGTGGAATGACACTAGAAATCAATCACACAAAGAAACCTTAGAAACTTTGAAAACACATGGGGTTTAAGCAGTACACTACTGAATAAATCAGTGGATCACAGAGGAAATCAAGGGAGAAATTAAACAGTTCCTAGAACCAAGTGACCACGTGAGCACAATATACAACGACCCCCAGGACACCATGAAAGCAGCCCTAGGAAAGAAGTTCACAGCTGTAAATAGACCCATGAAAGAGAACAGAGCAAGCTGAAACAGATAATCTAATAATGCATCTCAAACAGGAACCATTCAAGTCTGAAGCAAGTAGAAGGAGAGAAATTAGAAAGATCAGAAAGAACATTAATAAAATTGAGACAAAACAAGACAAAGCATCAGTAAATCAAAGAACTGGTTCTCTGAGAGAATAAATAAGATTGATAGATCCTGAGCCAAACTTATCAAAAGAAGGAAAGAAAAAAAACCCATATTGATGCAGACACAACTTCAAACACACTCAGCCACCTCATCTTTGACAAAGGGGCCAGACATGCTCACTGGAAGAAAGATGACCTCTTTAAAAAATGGTGCTGGAAAAACTGGCTCTCCACATGCCAAAGACTGGAGCTAGACCGATGTCTATCACCATGCGCTAAACTAAAGTAAAAATGGATCAAAGATCTCAAGATTAAAACAGAAGCACTAAATCTGCTGGAAGATAAAGTAGGTAGAAATATTGAAGACATAGGTGTAGGCAGAAAGTTCATGAACAAAACTCAAACTGCACTGGGGGAAATACTTCAAAGAATCAACAACTGAGATCTCATCCTATTAAAAAGCTGGTGCACATCAAAAGAAATCACCAACAGAGTAAAAAGACAACCAACAAGGTGAGAAAAACTTTTAGCCAACTCTCCCTCAAAGGATTTCTATCTAGAACATAGAAAGAACTGAAAAAAAAATCATATGCCTCAAATCCAAAGACCCAATCCAAAAATTGGTGTCTGAGTTAAATATGCACTTCTTGATGAAGAAATAGAAGTGGCAAATGAATATATGAAAAAAATGCTCAATATCATTCGAGAAATGCAAATGAAAACAACACTGAAATTCCATCTCACTCCAAAAGGAATGGCTATCTCAATAAATCAACCAATAACAAATGCTGGCAGGGCTGTAGGGATAAAGCAATCCTTCTCCACTATTGCTGGGAGTGCTGACTGGTTCTACCACGTGGAAATCAGTATGGAGAGTCCTCAGAAAACTAAGATTAGAGATCTCATTCGACCCAGCTATTCATTTTCTGGGTATCTTCCCAGAAGAATAAAAAACATCATACCACAGGGATAATATGCACCTCTGTTTATAGCAGCACAATCATAGTTAAAACTTGGAAACAACCCAAATGCCCATCAACCAAAGAATGGATAAGAAAGATGTGGTCTTTCTATACAATGGAGTACTACTAAGCCATAGAGAAGGATAAACCTGAGACTTTTCTGGGTAAATGGATGCAACTTGAGACTATACTTACAAGTAAAGTAAATCAGACTCACATGAAAGAGAACAGAGCAAGCTGAAACAGATAATCTAATAATGTGTAAACACATTAATAATAATTTGTTATTATTACAAATAATAAACACATGTGTAAACATTTTATTGTCTTCTGGTGGGAGAAACTGAAACTGTAAATAAAGTCTAAACTGTACAATAGATCTCATGAAATGGGAAGGAATTGTTCAAAAGGAAAAAGGAACTATGATAGGGAAAGGGGGAAAGAAAGAGAGGGAAAAGGAAAAAAGTTATACTGCTAGTGTCTCTTAGTTCATTGAAAAGAAAGATTCGTGCTAGTATCAATTGGAGATTTTTTTATGCCTATGTCTTGTACTCTGAGTAACTAAAGATAAAAATATCCAATGCATTAACAATTGTTATTCTCCTATTATTTTGTTATGAAATTTTGTTCTACTTTTTGCCATAAAAAATACTCTGGAAGCTGGGCATGGTGGTGCACACCTGTAATGCCAGCACTCGGGAGGCTGAGGCAGGAAGATCGTTGCAAGTTTGAGGCCATCCTGGTTACAACATGAGCTCAAGCCACAGCCTGATCTGCATGGTGTGACCCTGTCTCAAAAAGACCAAAAAAATACTCTGGAGAAAAGATAACCTCTTTAGCAAATAGTTTCCCCAGAGGGTGGATTGTTAGGGGGAACAGAGTTGTCTGGACTTCTTTTAGGGTGGTCACTTTCTGCCTCCTCCTGCTGATCTTCACTCTGAAAACGTGGTGATCTGCAACATCTATGCCAGGAGAACTTACAAACCTATAGTCTACCCTAAAGATCGGTCTCCAGAGTAGGCAGCTCATGAGAAAAGCCATACCGAGTCTCTAACAATTAATCAATTATCCTTGAAGTGTTGTTACCAGGCTCCAGCTCCAGTTTCTTCTCTTCACAAGGTGTTCACTGATCTCCTAGTTTTGGGGCGGTGGTTTGCCTTGTGACTTCAGTTCTCTTGTGGATCTAAAAGATATTGTTGGTTCACAATTTGCTCCATGTTGCTCCTTTTTCTCCTCCTCTTCTTCCCCCTTTTCTCCATTTTGAGAACTGGAGTAACAATTTCCAAGCTTTTCAGCTTTTACACGTTAGAATAGACTTGTAATTCATTCTTTATCTGTATGTTAATTAGAATATTCCTTTTAATTTCCAAACATGCATGTTTCTTTTTAATTGTCTTTTTGGTACCATTTCCTAACCTAACTGCATTATGGTCAGATAATATGGTCTGCATTATTCTAATTCTTTGAAGTGTTTGACGGTTTTCTCTGTAGAATAGCGGGTGGTCTATTTTGAGAAATTTTCCATTTGTGGTTGATAATAGGTGTCTGGTGAAAGTCACTGAATTCATCCCTGTGCTGGGAGGAAAGGATGGTTTATTGAGCAGGGCAAATGAAAAGGCTGGTGGAAATTACAGCAAGATTCAGGGTGATCTTTGTTGACGGCAAAGCACCCCAGGCGCTGCCTTTCAGGAGCAGGAAGCAGGGACAAGGTGTCTGTGGAGAGCTCCACAGGGCCTGGGCAGCCAAGAAGGAAGCCAGGAGAATAAGCACCCTCACACTTTGTTCTTGGACCCTGCTAGCGACTCTCATTAGTAGAACCAAATCAGGACTAAAAAGCAATCTGTCAGGGTCTAGATCAGGAGGGAAAGAGGACAGTGGGTCCTAGAGGGGCAAAATAAATAGAGCCAGAACACGGGAAAGGTAGAGCAGACGCTGAGGTTTTCAAGAAGGCTTTATTGCAACAACTCACACGGATCATTGCCGAGCAGAAACGCTGCCCACTGGCAGCTGAGTGATGGCTTTGCAGACCGAATTCTGTACTCTGTTGCTCCTTGGTTTTCCTCCTTCTCGCATGAGCACCGCTCCTTACCATCACGTTTGTGCCCTCCGGTACCTTCTTCCAACCCCAACATGATTCACCTTTCAGGCTGCACCTTTGTGCAGGGGCTGACCTGTGCATTTTAGGGTGTTCAGCAACTTCCCTGCCTGGTGCCCTCCAGATCCCTGCAACGTTCTCTCCTCCAGTGGAGATAGACTGCCTGGAGACATGGCTAAATGTCTGCTTGGAGGCAGAACTGTCCCCGAGTCAGAGCCACTGCCTGAGACCACAGATGATGGACCGGGGGCAGGCGAGGGAGGATTTAGAGACGTGAGTAAAGAATCTAGGGAATGTGCTTTGTGAGTAAAACTGGAGACAGGGAGGAATCCTCAAAAACGATAAATTTAGATTTCACCACACACATTCAGTGATAGTATTTGCAAATGGGAAATAAACGTGCAAAAACGTCGAAGTGCTCTTGTGTCAGTGCAATGCTGTGCAACGCAGATGTCATCCAAATATTCCTGACTCTGAGACACTACATTATTACACAACTTGTACCGCTAGTTACAATCTGGGGAAACTGTTACCTCAGGCTTTTTCTTTCTTCTGTCTTCTCTTTTCTTAATCCACATGCATCTGGCATACAACACATCCTCTTGTGGCTTTGGTTAGCAATACGGTCCCTTTTAGTGATTCTTATTTTTTCCGGAAACTTAACTGAAGAACTCCAGGGTCACCATGTTGGGGTAATAATCACATTTCATAGCATGGTTCTTCAACCTGCTGCAACCCAACATCCACACACCCCCTTATGGCCTGCAGTCTATTCCTTTCCCAAAGCCAGCACTCCTGCTGATTGACTTTGCCACTAGAAAATAATGCTCTTAAAAGCATGGTCTGGTCTTTCTTTAATTGCTTTCTCTGTAGAGGCATGACTGCCTTTTCTCTGGTGCTGAAACTGCACTGAATTGCGCTTGTCCCTCCAATTATGACTTGTGCTACCAGCGGAAGTTCTGGAGGATCGGTCTGCTGGAAGTGAAGTCAGAGTCTGGCCTTAAATATCAGGATACACTTCCAGGTCTGAGTCTGTGCCAAGGAAGCCAGGAATTCTCTTTCCCGGAGTCTTCCAGCATTGGAGAGTTACCCACCTGTCCAGGACGGGAAAGGGCTCACTAACCTTCTCCCGCCCAGGGGAGGGAGCTTCTCCTCCAGGGGCCTTCCCAGTCTGCTGGACAGACTCTGCCTGGGCCAGGTAGGTTCCCCAAAGGCCCTCACCACGGCTCCCTTCACTTCCTTGTTGCACAAACGGTAGATGACGGGGTTGCACGTGGGGGTGATGATGGTGTAGAGCAGCGAGAAAGGCTTGTCCTGGTCTGGCCCGTGTGTGCTGTGGGGATTCATGTACGAGAACACAGCTGAGGTGTAGAAGAGGACGACCACCATCAGGTGGGAGGCACGAGTGGAGAAGGTCTTGCCCCGACCTGAGGAGGAGTCTCTGCCGAGGATGGAGGGCAGGATGCGGGCGTGGGAGGTGACAGTGAGGACCACGCGACTGAGCAACACCACAGTGGCGTCGACAAAGATCAACTTCATGCTAAACTGGGGGTCCCCGCAGGACAAGGCGATCACCATGGGAGCCTCACAGAAGTTTTCTACATGGTTATCTCTGCAGAATGGACCTCTAAATGTCATGTAATCAAGAAGGATACCACTGATCATTCCCAAAATCCAGGCAGAACCCACGAGCCTTCCACAGACCTGCCAGTTCATGATCTGGGTGTAGCTTAGTGGGTGACAGAGAGCAACGTAACGGTCATAGGCCATGAAAGCCAAGAGAAGGCACTCGGCCACACCCACAAAGAAAACCAGGTACATCTGTGCCACGCAAGAGACAAAGGAGACAGTGTGGTTTGTGACTACCAGGTGGACCAGCATCTGTGGGGTGGTGGTGGTGATGAAGCAGACGTCCAGGAAAGCAAGGTGGCCGAGGAAGAAGTACATGGGGCTGTTAAGCCTCGGGTCTGTCCACGTGATGTAGACGGTGAGGCCATTTATGGCCATGGGCAGGCTGTAGAGCGCTCGGAAGAGGGTGAAGAGCAGTGTCCGCGTGGAAAGGGAGCTCTGCGCAAAGCCCACAAGGATGAACTCTGTCACCGTGCTGCTGTTGCGCAGGTCGACCGCCTGGGGCCCGCTGCAGGAGGAAGGACAGGGAGAGCACAGGGCAGTAAGCCGCATCGAGCAGCCACCTTGGCTAACTTACTCCTATAAAAACAGGTTGGCTTAATTAAATGCAAAAGACAGTCAATGAGAACCCAATAAACCTCAAGCGAGTTAGCAGCGTAAAAAGCACAGAGAATGCCAGTGTTGCTGCAGGCTGGCATAGGGGAGCCACAGCATACGCCAAGGAAGGTTTATCATACTCTGTGTCAAGCAGGATTCACCGGAAATATTTTGTTTAGTCTTGGGCTCTCCCCCTGACCCAACAGATGTTCTCTCTCCGTTACTGTCAGTACCCAACAGCACAGCACTTCTATTCCAACTGCTAACTTACATCAACACGTCACGGTCACATTAGAGTTCACTCCTGGTGCTTATGTTCTAAGTATGTGGTCGAATGTCTCTGAAGTAGTTTCACTGGCCTGAAAGTCTTTTGTGTCCTTTAGGCACTTAAATATGAATAGGTTTTCCAACTAGAAGAAAGAACTTACCTTTCCTGTGTAGCCCCAGTGGGTAGGACTGCATTCAGAGAGTGGATCAAAGAAATAAATGGCTGAGTTTTCTAAGAAAAACTGTCATTATCTTAACTATAATCTTAATGTTTGCTTATTTTGCCACATCTGGAAAATTCCGAAGAGGAAGAGTGAAAATCAACAAGGAGATAAAAATAATCACCCAGGAAAAAAACAGCTTAATGTTTCAGTTCATGTCTTTCCATTTTATTTTTCTGGGTCTATACTTTAAAAGTTTTTGAGGCCAGCACAAGACTTGAGTAGAATCTGCCACTGAGACTGAAGTGGGGGTGAGGGCGGGAAGCGGTGCGTCTTCAGGAAGAAAGGCAGTGATTAGAGTTGGTTCCAGGGTGGGGATCTAATACAAGTCTAGGTGGGAGAGAGGCTCTCAGGCCAAGTATGATCCACTGCCTACTCCTGCTAATAAAATATCACTGATATACAACCGTATCCATGCATTTATGCATTGTCTATGGCTGTCTCCTCATTACAACAGCAAGGCTAAGTCATTGCCACAGAGATCATAAGGCTTTCAAGTAAGGGTGCCAGGTTTAGCAAATAAAAGTGCAAGGTACAAGGCACTAGTTAAATGTGACAGAATAAAATTAGGAGTATGTCCTATTCAATATTAGCAACCGTGCAAACTCTAAAATATTTAAAGGTGGGCACTCCACAGAACAAGTGTGCTGACTTTTGCCTACTCTAATGACCTCAGAGTGGACTTGCTTCTGACAGGCATGGAAGGAAACCAATGAAAAGGCCCCTCGTCTTAGCCACACACCTGAGACTCTCTACCGGATGGGAGGCACCATCTTCTTAGGGGGTATATTGAGTCTCAAGAGTTTCCTCCCCAGGAAGAAGGTTCAAAATAGGATCAACCTCGCTGGATGGAAGGACACCTAATGTCATTCCTTTTTCTGTTTATTTAACTCAATACAGTATCTGTGGTTTTACTTATTTTAAGTGCTTGTGGTTAAGCTTGTTCAATTAAGTAAGATCAAAGAGTTATTTTGGAAGGATTGTCCAGTTAACTGAGACGTGATTCTGTGACAACAATGAAACTAGACATGATTATGAAACTAATCCCCCCTACTTGAAAATTGAAAAGACAAAAAACCTCCTAAAAGTAACTATCAGATCAAACAGGAAATAAATAACTATAAGCTACTTGAAAATATATGAAAATTGAAAGTATTATATATTACTAAGTACTATACCCAAATATTTATTAGAAGAAAATTTAATAACCTGAAATACTTTTATTACTTAATAGAAAACAGGATAATTGCAGTTACATTAAATAAAACAAAATGAAATAACTGAAGAGGTTAGAAACAGGTAAGCAAAATTTATCTAAGGAAGACCAAAAAAGGAAAATTTGTAAGGATCAAAGCAGAAATTATTAAATAAGAAAACATAAAAAGAGTACAAATAAACTCAAACTGGCCCTTTGAAAAGATCAACAAAATAAACTACTATCTAGAAACAACCAAAAATGATGAGAGAAGAAAGCCAAAATACACAATTTTAAAATGGAAAAATAATCATAGCTATAAAGAAAATAAAACAACTATGCAACAGTACTTTGCAAAATTCTATGATAATCAGTTTGAAAGCCTCGGAAAGAGATATTTTTCTGGCCTAATATAAATTATTAAAATTCACTGAAGCAAAGACACAGACAAAATTCAACTAATATCTTGAATAAAATGAATGTAATGTAGTAGTTCAAAACTACTGCTTTGGCTTCAAATTATAGTTTCTCATATGTCATATGCCAGGCCCTTGAAGCAGAAGGTATTAGGAAAGATTCAGTCATCAGGTTTTTAAAAATTTAATTGACAATAATTGTATAGATTTATGGCATGTGACATATTTAAGTCACGCTAGTAACATATCTCTCACATTGCAGAGGCTTCTGTATTTTTAAAAGCTCTCCAGGAGATTTTAAATGTACATCCAAACCTGAGGAAAATGATAAAGAACTATTCCAAAATAGCTCCTAGCTTGATGGTTTCATTAGCAAATTCTTTCTAATCTTATAGCAATCAGCTGTTTTCCAAGGCTACTGAAACTCTGCAAGAATATTAAAAGTAAAGCTCTTGCATTACTTTCACTAAATCATTAAACTATGAGACCAAAATCTAAAAACGTACACAAAAGAAAATTACAAATAATTACAGCAAAAGAAAACTCATGGTGAAATAGGTTAAAAAACTGTCAGCATACATTTAAGGATTAGTGCACCACCTTCACCAAGCGAAATTCACTGCAGTAATTTAATGTTCTTCCAGTACTAGGAGTTCTACTAATGTAACTCACTGCATTAATATATTGAAAATGAAAAAATTCTCAGCAGTTACATGGATGTTACAAAGGTATTTGATAAAATATGATGTTAATGCTGGATTTTTAAAGTTCTTAGTAAAATAGAACCATAAATCATGATTTAAAAATTTATCTAAATCAAAATAATTAGAAAACACACTACGTGTTAGGTATTGCTTGTTCTAAATGTATAATATACAAGTACTAATGTTTAAGCTTCTCAACAATCGTATGTGCTAGGAGGTCTTCTTCTTTTAATCCTTGTTTTACAGATACCCAGAACTCATGACCTCAGACTCACCAGGCAGGCACTTATGCCGCTGAGCTACACCATTAACTTCAATAGATAACTGTACTGCAGCTCAAGAGTGAACAATACACATTAAGTAGCCTGCAAACTAAATGTGAAGTCACAAAGAAAATCACTGAACGGTTATAGGAGAGTCACACTACACAAGAACTTGAGAGGTACCGAGATGCTGTGTGTGATGGGCTACAAAGAGTATTTATTATTGGCATGAAGGCCTGCGACCAAAGGAAACGATAACACACCTCCTCATTGCCCCTCTGCGTTAGCCATGGGGGGCCTCTGACGGACTCCACAGCTCTTTTGGGGAAGCAGGAAATGGCAGCCAAGAACGTGGATAATTTATGGTGGGCACCGGAGGGTTGATGAAGGCTCTGCATGGTGGCCTGTAACACCAGATCAACTTTGACGTCACTTGAGGGTCACACCAATAGCCCCCCAACCCCAGAAACTTGATTTCAGCTCTCCAGCTGAGAAAGCTGTAGACTTGATGAAGAGATCTTCTGGTGGCCAGGCAGGTTATGCTTAGAAAGAAAACTGCCTTACTTGGAGGGTAATCTCGCAGATCAGAAGGAAAAAGGAAAGAACTGTGGGTGCTTCTGAGAGTAGAACCAGCCGGGGAGGAAGTGTTCAGCAAACAAGCATGGGTCTGCAGTGGAGGTTGCAGTGGACATCCAGATCAACTACAGACTGCGACAGCTTCTGAAAAGCTGGGTTCTGATCGGCACTAACCGCAGTGCTGGAATATTCTAGAGAAAGCAGGTTGACGGAGAGGAAGTTTGTCTGTGTAAGTCATACATCTACCATGGGAGAGAGAAGCAGGTCCATAGGTCCCCGGGAGGAATGTAAGAGTGGAAGAATGACTAACCAGCCAGAATGTACTGTAGCCAAGGATCTCAGTGGTGGTGACCGAAGCCTGTTCTTCTCCCATGACTGATGTGTGTTTTAAAAATAAGGATTTCATTAAAATTGCCGGCTAGGACAGGTAGACACTCATGAATTCATTCCAAAAATTTTCGTTTTAGGAACCCAACATGGTGCTAGGTGCTGGGAACACAAAGACACAGTGACGTGGTTCCTCTTCCTGAGAGACTTAGGCTGTGGGGAGAGTTACAGTATTTGGATCACTTTTCTTCTCAGACTCTTTCTATGCCCCTGGCCTAATAAAAGACAAAGTCCTACAGTGTTAACTTGGCATACAAAGCTCTTTAATCTAGCATCCTGCTGAAAGGATCGGACTCTGGGGATGCACGGTCTCGTCTCAAGGACAAGCTGTCCCCTCTTAGCTGTGTGTGTCTCACTGAATGAGCAGGCACCTCCACTTCCTCATCTGGATGGAGATAAATATTGGAGTGACAGTAGTACTGGCAGTTAAATTATATAATACACACACAATGTTTAGCATGGCAAATGGTGCATAATGTACCAATAAATAAGACTATCTATCTATCCAGAGGCTTAATTTACCTTGACATTAAATGGTTAATTGTAACAAAAAATTCAGATTAGACATGGTATTAATCATTAAGATGATAAAATTTTAAAAAGAAGTACCAAGTAGATTATTCAGTAATCTAATAATAAATCATATGGGTGAATTGGAGAAGATTCAACTATGTTGCTGATGTGACAAGAAATATTGACATCAGCGGAGACAGTATTAAGTCATTACACCGCTGCACTTTGGATTTCAATCACAAATTGCTTAATGAGTAGAGTAAAAGAATATTGAGAACTATTCATTGACCCTGAGCAGTTGGAAAGCCCTGGAACTTCACAGACCCAAAGGTGTGAGAGATACATATTTTCTCAAATGTGAAAACCTCTCTAAAATTTACCATGACGCTACCAATAACTAGAGATATGAAGCT